TTCATGGCACGCAACTCCCAACAGCCCCAGGAAGTGAATCACTCCTTGCTGTGGACTTGTATACCTCCACAAACAAATAAAATGGAGCAGGACTCCTTCCTGGCCCCGTTGCAAACCGCATCTGATGAGCGAGACCCATCACCCAGGTTCCAACCGGGCTGTGCAGGACACTGGACCATCAGGGAGCAGAAAAGCCCATCCCTGATCCAAGAGAGAGCCACCATCATCCAAGCACAGCCACATTCATGCCAGGAGGAGGCCAAAGGGGCTCAGAGCAATGAGATACAGGACCCCACAGGACACTGAAACAGCTCCTATGTTGTCCAAAAAGATGGAACACACCTAAAAATGCTTGGCCCAGCTTCTCCTGTGATACCAGAAAGAAAATCCCTGCCAGAATAAAGTCAGAGGAACACCATGGCACCTATGTCCACTGAAAGGGTGTGGGAAATGCCCTTCTTGGTACTGAGCATCTGAAGCTCTCAGAGAACAGCATAGTTCTGTCTCTTCAAGAACCTCACAGATGCTGGAGGTCTTTTCTTTCTATCCCTGCGGGCAGGGCAGGAGGGAGGTGCACCAAGCACAGGGTTGGGAAACTGCCTGTGGGGTAGGAACTGGGCTTAAAGGACACAAGAGGAACCGTTTTTCTCCCATTCCTCAGCTTGCAGCAGCACAGCTCACCCAAGGAAAGGGAGGCAATGAAGGATGAGCTGGCTGAGGGCTATTCCCAGCCACAGTCACCAGGATCTTCCTCCTCACCCATGGCAGCCTCTGTCCCCTCTGGATGCTCACCAGCCTCAACACAACTGCCCCTGTGGCTCTTGATGCAGGTAGACAAGGGGTTAAACCAGGGGACAGGCTGTGGGTTTTGTCCATCTCTTTTCCCAGCAGCTTCTTTGCCAGGTCCTGATCTCAGTCAACGCTGCTGCAAACCCAGGTGACCCTCCAACATCAGACAGCAGCTCTGAATTCACGAAACCCACCCATGGAGATGGGCCACCCCTTCCACCTCATGCTCCTCACAACTGCAGGAAAGCCCATCAGGAGCCAGCTCCTGCCCTGCACGTTGGGCAGGGAGCAGGGGAAGTGCCACCACACTGGCAACCTTCCTTCTGGAAAGAGCTCCAGGATTGTGGAAACCTGGGTCTGTTCCCACCATCTCACTTCCCATCACCCCACCCTGGGGACAAGCTCTCCCTGGGGACAGGGATCGAGCTTGAACCACTGAGGACCACGCTTGGACCCAAGGGAGATCAAGGCATGAAGCCACGTGTGGCTCCGGGAGGTTCAGGAGTGATGGGGTGGCCTAGAGGACTTGGCAGTGGGGTGGTTCATCTACCATGAGGTCAAGCCCAGCCCAGAGGGACAGTCACCCATCTGACAAGCAGCAGAAGACCACAGGAGGGTTCTATAACAACAAGGTGACTAGGAGTTGCTTTGGCTCATCAGACCTGGAGAGCAAAGTGCAGCAAGGTGGGAGCAGCAGATGAGCCCCCGTGCTCCCCCAGCCCCCTTGCTCATCGGGGGGAGCCTGGCAGCCACACAAAGGGAACATCTCCCCCTCTTCTGACACGCTTCCCTGGACCTGCCATGCTTTTGGATTCATTTATTATTATTTTTCAACCTTCCTTCTAGCATCCACCTCTTGAGATTTAAAGGGGAAAATTCTGTTTCTGGCCCATCCGGCTCAAATTAGAAAGGAAAAGTGCTTTTCTCTCACAAGTCCTTTTCTCTTTTTGTTTGTTTGGTGTTTTTAATTTGGGGGCAGGGCGGCTGGGAAGGCAGAGAAAAGGGGGGAAAAAAACCCGAAATGTAAACTCCACAAAGGCCCCATTTCCACCTGCCTCAGAGGGAATAAAATTTTCAACAGCAAATAGCTCCCACCTTCCACTCTTGTTTGAGAAGCGATTTGGCGGGGGGACAAGGCGGGTGGGGGAGCGAGGGGGACTTTGCAACCGGCGAGATAAAGAGATTTGCTGCAGGTTTGCTCCTTTCTTTGCCGGAGATCAGGGAGACTTCGGGGCGGGAGAGCTGGAGCAGCGGGAAATGCCCCCTGGGCGACAGCCAGAGCCCTGACAGGTCACAGCCTTTCCCATAACTCTTGTCAAACTGCTCCGATAAACACCCTCCCGGAGCAAAGGGTTTCCCAGACCTGCAGCCATCCAGCTTTTCCCAACCCTCCAGCTACGGCAGCTTCTTCAGCACCTCTTCTACAGCCACCACAGCCCTTGGTGTTCCTTAAGAGAAAAGGGGGCCAACACACAGAAAAAGCCCTCCCCGGGAGACGTGGGGTCCAGCCCTGGGGCTGTCAGGGTTTTGCCACCCCTAAAGCTTCACCCCGGGTGGGTTTGCAAAGTCCTGCCGTGGCCGTCGGGGGCTGAGTGGGTGATCCATGGAGCATGGATGAGCTGGTGCTCAGCTCCAGACACCGTCCCAGGGACCCCATAAAGGGATACAGGATGGTCTTATGGCAAAGGGATGACACCTCTGACCAGGCCACCCTTGGCTCCCACCACCCCGGAGCAAACCAGCGTTGGGGTGGCATCGCCCAAGGGTACAAACTGGGTGAGAAATCCCTCTTCCCTTTGAAGGGCAGCAAGGATGGTGTCGTGGGATGAAGGTGTTTCCAACCACGGGTGGGTTTTTCTTCCCCACATCCCCCACGAGGAGGATGGGAGGTGGCAGGGGGCTGGTCATGGCCATGGCCAAGGTGTGGGGCAAGCACCAGCCCCGCTGCTTAATCCCACCCGGCAGCCAGGGCTACAAAGGTGGAGAGAAAGCAAACCTCTCCCTCCCCCCAGACCAAACAGGGAGCTGCCATCTTTTCCCATTAGGGATGGGCCCTAGAGATAACCCACACCTTTCTGAAGAGCCACCACCCGACCCTCCAACTTCAGATAACCCACCCGAACCCGTCATGGAGGGACAGGGGCTCCAGAAGCCCCAGGGCTATGGGGAGAGGCACCGAGCTGGGACCACCGTAGGGGAAGGAGGAAGGTGCTGCATGGTCTCCCCCCAATTTTGACCCCCACATTCACAACCACCACTCAATGCCGGATTGCTGGGGCACCACATGGAGATATGGCAACGGGGACACTGCCTTCATCTCATCACCTCCCTCTGAAGGACAGAGGCCCAGAACTGGCCCTTGGGGCATCAGTGCCACCGGGAGAGGGAAAACGGGCAACGGAGAGACAACCCCAACCCCTGCCCCACACTGAACCGTGGCCGACCACCATGGGGACGCCCTCCTGGGGGTCCCAGCCTGGACCAGGGTGTCCCTGTGGGGCGGCCATGGAGCGAGGGGCAGGAGCCGCCCTCAGGCCCCGATCAAAATGGCGCTGGGGACGTGGGGCGCGGGGTTAATCATTAGCCACCGGCGGTGCCGGGCACCCCACCTCACCCCATTTCTCTGGGGAGTGGGGGAAAGGGACCGAAGCGGTGGCCGTGGGGTGGGGGTGGGCCTGGTTCACCCCCTTTTCCCACCAGGAAGAGCGGCTGAAGGCTCTTGGTGGTGGGACAAGGGGGTCCATCACCCAAACCACGAGTGAGGAGCCCTGCCTGGGATGGGGAGCGGGGCTCAAACATGCTCCTGCCACGGCCCAGGACAGGGGTGGGTGAGGGGAAAAAAAGGGGCAGTCAATGCCCCGAAGTCACTTATCGGGGTCTTTATCTCCATGGTGCAAGGGAGGGGGGGGAACGCCGCCGCCGCTGGGGAATTTCAAGGAGCATTCCTTCCCCGTCACGGCGGTGGGAAGAATAAATATAATAAAATGAAATAGAACAGGACGTCCCATTTCACACACGCCCCCCCCCACCCCTCCACCATCACGCACGGACACAGCCATCCCGGTTGCCCACGTCTTTCCCAGCGAGCCCATGGTGGCACAGAGACCATCGGCACCCCCTCATCTGCCGGCCCAGGGTGGGGGGAAAAGGACCAAGCCCTGAATCTGGGGGGATCAAAAAACCCAAGTTCTCCTCCAAACGTTTCAAAAGCAAAAAAAAAAAAAAAAAAAAAAAAAAAAAAAAGTGTCAGACACACAGCAGAGGTCTGGGACAATCTTATTCACCACCATCCTGCAAAAAGCAGCCTTCCTGACTCTCTTTTTATTTATAGTTTTGACTAATAACTTGTTATTTATTGAACATTTTCCACTTCTGCAGAACTTGCCATGTGAGGACATTAGAGCATCTCATAAACACAAATTGCACTTATCACCCACAACCACAAGTACTTATGATGCATTTAAAAGGAAGGCATCACACAGCAGCATTATCTCCCTTACAGGGCTGAGCAGAGCAGCTCAGTGAGATGTTAAGCCCTGCAGATGGGAGAAAGG